TCAGCTGGTTCGTATAGTCCTTTTTGTTACGAGGAAAATTGGGAGCAGAGGCACAGAAATGTCATAGCAGGTTCCAGAGGCCCCCAGAAAGCCCGTGGAGAAACCAAGACTAGAAAGTATTTCCTTCTACGTAACTTACAGTCTGTTCACTAGACTGTCTGCCAAGAAACGCTGCTCTGTGACCAGCGCTGTGATAACACGCAAGGAAAACATCGGTTCCTGGGAAAGACCGCGGAGAGGGTGCGGTGAACACCCAGAAGCTGTCCCTCCCCTCGTGGGTCAGACATCTGGCCGGCAGCCCGGGTGGGAGCTGCCGCCAGAATCCACTGTGGGGATCTGAGCCGTTCCCACACGGAGACTGGCCTCTGGCAGCTGACAGTTTTCCTTTGTGCAAAGGGTGTTCCTGGCTCTCCATCAATTCCTCCCGCTCTGCACTCCTTTCCTGCCACCCCCGCACTCCACACCCTGCTGCACACACCCTCCCACTCCCGCAGCAACACAACCCCTCCCTGGGGTGCGTTCTGCACACACAGGCCCCCACACTTCCTCTGCCCACGCCCACAGGGCGCTCCGAGGCACCCCTCCTTCCCCCACCAGCCTCCTCACAGCCCTCAGTGCCCTGTCTGCTGCCCAGTTTCCTCCCCTCCTCACTATCTCTGCTTCATTGTGTGGTTTCCCTCCTGGCGCCTCACCCGCCCGCCCCTCTCTGCGCCCTTTGCCTGGCCGGGAACCTGGCACCGCTCCTGTCCTGTACATTGGAATCCGGCCGTCACCAGCCGGAAGGTAGTCAGCCTGCGTGTGCCTGCCTGTTCCTCACCCACAGCGAGGCCACCGCAGAGGGTGGGAAGGAGCTGGCTGTCAGTCCTATTTCTGGAAACGATAGAAACTCCTGTTCCCCCCCCCCCCTTTATTCCCAGGGGAACCAACAGAGGAGGCCCAGGGTAGTCACCGTCTTTCCTCCTTCCCTCTCACTCTGTTGCAGATTTCCCATCCCTTCTTCAGAGGCCCTGGCAGTGTGCTTGGTGGCATCGCTCACATCCTGTCTAGATGACAGGTTACGCAGGGCTAGGGGATCCCACAGAGGACAGACAGGACAATGAAAGAGGGAGCCCGGCCGGTGTGGCTCAGTGGTTGCGGGTCGACCTATGAACCTGGTGGTCACAGTTCGATTCCCAGTCGGGGCACAGGCCCAGGTTGCGGGCTCCATCCCCAGTAGGGGGCGTGCAGGAGGCAGCGGATCCAAGATTCCCTCTCTTCATTGATGTTTCTCCCTCTCCCTCTCTCCCTTCCTCTCTGACATCAATAATATATATATATACATACATACATACTGAGTGGCCAGATTATTATGACCACCTGACGTTTCTGACGTTTGTAGGCAGATTAGCTATAATTTTGCGCTGAAGTAGAGGGCCAGACCATTATAAACGTCTGAATAGCACAACATACCTAAGTATGTTGCTGATCGGGTTCATCCTATCATGTTGATGGTGTATCCCAATGGAGATGGCTTCTTCCAACAAGACAATGCGCCATGCCACGGTGCTCGTATTGTTCAGGAGTGGTTTCAAGAACGTGAGGGAGACTTTACCTTGCTTAGGTGGCCCCCACAATCACCAGATCTCAATCCAATTGAGCATTTGTGGGACGAAGTTAAAAGAGCCATCAGGCAGCTGGTTCCACAATCATCAAATCTCACAGAACTGGACAGTGCTATTCATCAGGCCTGGTGTCAGATTCCACACATCACCTTTCAACATCTCGTGGAGTCAATGCCAAGAAGAATCGCCGCAGTATCGAAGGCAAAAGGTGGCCCAACGAAGTACTGATGGGGTAGTCATAATAATCTGGTCACTCAGTGTATACACACATACACATATATATGAGGGGAATAAGATTGATTATGTTTAACCAGAACTTTAGCTATTTTAAATATATGCTACTCCCCTGGAATCTACATACAGACGCCATGTTGAAAAAAATGGGCAGTCAATGAAATAGAGAAGAGGATCAGTTCATGTCCATGCTCTGCGATGGCACCGATGGCTTCAGTGGGAGTTGGAAGGGGTCTTCTTGGGCAAATGACTTGCCACAGTTGCCTGGGTTTCTTCTTTTTCTTTGGTGATGCAGATGGTAGTTTAGCTGAATAAATATTAAGAACAATGGGGTGTGTTTTTTTCTTTCCGTACTAAGAACACAGGAATTTTTCATAACAGCTGCTGTTTACATGAACTAAATATTAAGCATAGCCTACCACATTGCATTGGACATTAAATAAGCAAGATAGATATTGTTTTTGTTCATTGACAATTTACCATCTGAAAAAGATTATATCAACGGGACAAAAGAATAGATGAATAAATAGCCAGAAACTCTGATCACTTCCTTTTCACATTAAAATGGAAAAAAATTGGTCTGGCGTGGCTCAGTGGTTGAGCGTTGACCTATGAAACATGGTTCGATTCCTACCCAGGTTGTGGGCTCGCTCCCCAATAGGGGGCGTGCAGGAGGCAATCGATCAATGATTCTCTCTCATCATTGATATTTCTATTTCTTCCTCTCCCTTCCTTTCTGAAATCAATAAAAATATATTTTTTAAAAAATGGAAAAATTTAGTGAGTCCCTGCTTTCCAAGGAATAGAGTCCTAGGTATAAATCTGTGCCCCGTACACCTTTTCAACTCTTGTCTTCCATTTTCCCACCAGGGTAGGGGTCTACACACCCAGTTTGTGCTTCCCCACCACCCCCAGGCGAGGGGCCTGCCATCTCTCCAGGGTATTTCTCTCGGTGCCTGACTCAGTGAGCTAGGCCGACTTTTGTAGTTGCTGAATAAACATTTGCTGAAGGGATGCCGCCTGAGGACAGGGCAGTCCTAATTGGGGCAGAATGAGAATCTGCAGAGCCCAGAATGTGAAGAGAAGGCGTGTCCTGGGCTCTGCCTGCCAAGTGCCTGCTTTTTATTTCTTTATTTTGCATATTGTATTATTTTCATTCTATATTCATAAATGCATATCACTGTAGGTTTACATTAATATAAACTCATATTTAAGTACATTATATAAATGTGTGTTTCAACTCGGTTTTATTTTTTTTAATCTTTATTGTTGAGAGTATTACATGGGTCCTCCTTTTCCCCCCATGAACCTCTTCCAGCCACTCCCGTCCTCCCCCCGCCCCCAGGGCCTGCTTTCCATAAAGCCGTTGCCCTCTAAGCACTCCTGCTCCTCCACACTGTGCTTCCGTTGCCATAGCGCCCAGCAGTGTTAATGTATATTATGGCCCGAGGATGTGCTTATTCAGCCTCACGTGGCAGGCTTCACAGAACTTCGGGTTGGGTTTTACCAGAACTTAACAGGGTGCTGTCACCACACACATCCAAAACACACAGCAAACAAGTCGGCACAGCACGAGTTGAGGCCAGAGCCAGACCCCCCATAAGTTAGTTAATTCCCCCCATCCAGTATGCTGTAGAAATACCGTGTTCAGGGGTGTATAAGCATTCACGATTCATTCATTTTTTCCTTGTAGGGAACCATTCATCTGTCCCTCCCACATCTCCCATCCTCTCAATGCTTAGCTGCCTTGTGTTGTTTTCTGTGTTATCTTGTATCAGATTTACTAGCATCAGGACTCCCTTCCATCAGCAAGCCTAGGAAGTCTGTGCTAGTGCTAGAAATCATTATTTCCAACCTTTTGGTTCAGATAACAAGAGTTCCACGGGAACAAATACAACCTGATTAAACAAGTTTGTCAATAAGTTTTCATGGCCATGAGCATTATTAAAAAAACTAGGGGCCCAGTGCACAAATTCGTGCATCTTGAAAGGAACTGTGGGCTGCGAGGCTGTGGTGGGCACATCGGCAGGTCTCGGCCCATCCTCCGCACCCCTGCCCGCTGCGGCCCCCAGTCCCCTGTCTGCTGGCAGCCCCGCTCCCGCTGCCACTCCTACATGCTGACGGCACCAGCCCCACTCGCACCCACTGACAGTGCAGAGCGATTGGGGCCAGCGCCATCAGCTGGTGCAAGAGGGGCCAGCGCCATCAGCGGATGTGAGCAGTGGCTGCTGCCCTGATCACCCCTCAGGAGCAGGGGGAGGTGGAGAAGCCCTCAGGGGTGATCGGGGCCGGCAGCCGCCGCTTGCACCCACTGATGGTGCTGAGCGATCGGGACTGGCGCTGGGCGCCGGCAGCAGGTACAAGCACCAGCAGTAGGTGCGAGTGCCTGGTGCGACCGTGGCATGTGGGAGCAAAGAATTTTCAGTAACCACCAGAGGCTCGCCCCGATGACAGTGACCGGTGCCCCACCTTGGTCTGGTGCCCCCACTCACCTGCTCCACCATCCCGCCACAGCCAAGACCCACCATGTTCCCTGTGCGCCCCCTGGTGGTCAGCACACAGCATAGCAACTGGTTGTTGGGTTCCACCATTCGGTCTATTTGCATATTAGGGCTTTATATATATAGATAAATCAGAAACTCTTCACCGTAATTGTGAGTACAAGTCCCTAAAATTCACAGGTGATCTTGAATATTCTTTTTAACCACTAATTTCAATTTCTGCCTTTCTTTTAACCAACACTTTTTGAAAACCAGATTCATGTAAGAGCAATTTTAATTCAATCTCATCTGACCACTTCATAGAATGAGTGAGAGGCACTAACAAGCTGTGAAAAGGCTTATAAGAGAACAATGAAAGAGAAGAAAGGCTTTTGAATGCTTCTCAAACTGGATAATCAGGTCAGGAACAGATGAGAGCTCAAAAAAAATTTAACTGTTTTTTTTTTAACCTTTAGTAATTCTAAGTTTAGTATAGTAATTTTTAAAAGTTTAGAAAAAAGAAATTATTGTATTACACGGGTCATGGCACCTACCCAAGTTGCTGGTCAATCCCCAGTGGGTCCCCGGTTGTGGCACGTGCGGGAGGCAACGGATCCATGTTTCACTCTCACATCAATATTTCTCTCTCTCTCTCCCTCTCCCTTCCTCTTTCTCTGAAATCAAGAAAAAGAAAAAGCATGTCCTCAGGTGAGGATTAAAAAATAAAAATAAATAATGAAAGTTTGGCAGGGTGGGGAGTGGGCTGGAGTGGGAGAGGAAGAACTGTTTGCTGGGGATGGTGGGAGGCTGGCATTCTGGAGCCACTGTAAAGAGACAGAGTCCAGAAAGGAGCTGCCTAGGGCTGGGGGTGGAGCGGCGAGGTTGGGATGACAGCTAAGGGGTGTGGAATTTTCGTTTTCGAGGGAATGAAAATATTCGAAAATCAGTTGGCGTGATGGATACACAACTCCGAATGTACTAAAAGCCATTGAGTTGTAGCTTTAAATGGTTGAATTGTATGGTATGTGAATTCTATCTTCATAAAATTGTTAAAAGAGAGACAGAGGCAGTAACGTTGGGTTGGAGAAGTTACTCAGTCTCATCTAACTCATTCTATTCTGACTCATTCCACTCCAATTTTGAAACCATGTTTTCCCTTTCATAAGTATATAAATCCTGCCTGCTCTCAGATAGATTCAAGCCAAGACCAGTGCGAAGGTACTTGAGTTCACGAGGTTACTTCTGGGACCAAGCAGGGGCTTGAGTAGCAAGCACCTGTGCTTTGTCCCTATTTCTGTTTATCGTGCAATAAGTTTGAGAAAATAAAGGTCTTGTTGCAGGAATAAATGTGAAGTTCATAAAGAAAATTCACACAGTGATGTAAATAATCTATTATATCTATAATAATAAAAGCATAATATGCTAATTAGACCAGACGACCTTCCGGACGAAGCCAGGGCTGCGAGGGAAGCCCAGGTCTTGGGTGCTGGAGGGAAGCCAGGGTCCCGGTGCCATAGCGAAGCCGGGGCCGGCAGCTGGGGGAAGGAAGACCTACTCTTGCACGAATTTCGTGCATCGGGCCTCTAGTAAAAAATAATGCCATAAACTTTCAAAGATGAGGGGAAAATAAAGAAGGGAAGAAACACACCAGGTGCGGATCCCAGCTCTGCAACTTTCTAGCTGGATGTTAAGTAAAACACTAACCCTTCTGGGCTTTGTTTTTCTCCTCTGTAAGACATGATATGCAAGGTTGTTCTGAAGATTACAGAGAAAATGTATACAAATGCCTGGCACATAGAGGACCCTGAATTAACCCTAGTAATTATTATCATAAAGGGCATGTTATTTTATCTGTCCTGGGAATGCCTGCAGCAGTCAGGGTCGGCGAGGTTATGCTGAGGTAACAAAGAATACCACAGTCTCAGTGGCTTAAAAAAGTGCCAACCCCAATATTTATTTTTTACTCGATTTTCCTACTCCTCATAGGTCGGCTTGGGGCCCCACTTGTGCCTTCCTTATTCTAGGACTCATTTAGAGAGCTGGGGTGGTCCGGAATACTGCCGATCACAGGGCGGAGGGAATAAAGGGTGTGGTAAATCACACACAGATTCTTAAAATGTGTGCCTGAAATTGACATGTTACACTGCTTCCATGCTCCGGCTGAAGCTAGTTACACGGCCATGTCTGTCTTCAGGGGAGCGGGAATTACATTTTCTAACATGTGCACAGAAGATGATAAAAGAGATTATTTGTCAACAGCCCTAGTGATTGCTACGTAACTCCTGAGGGAAATATTTTTAATTTTTAAAACAAGACATCTGTGGCCCAGGCAAATAAGTACTTGCCTCCTATATGGGTAGGAAATGGCAAAATAAGAGATTCAAACCCAAGTCTGTGTTGTCTCCTGATCATTCCAGTGAGACTTGAAAACTGAAACTGTTCTACCCACAAAGCCATGTGAATATGTCTCCCTCTCCACATTTGTAGAAAAAAAATTGCATATTTTCTTTGGGAACAAACTGGTACTGCCTTCTCAGAAACCAATTTAGAATAAAAAACATTAAGAATCGTAAACTGTTCACACACCCTTTGACCCAAGAAATCTAGTTCTGGGAATTTATCCGAAGGGAATCATCCCAAGCAGATGGAAAACTTACCCTCATGGAAGGATCTATTGTGACACTGTTTATGATAGTGTAGAACCAGAAAGAATCTACATTTTTGACAAAAGGAAGAGTTGAAGAATATATTGATTATATGCTCAATGAGTTATTATAGTTATCCTAAATAATAAAAGACTAATGTGCAAATTGTCCCCTCGACCGGGAGTTCGACCAGGAGTTTGGCCAGGGGGCGGGGCCAGCTGACAAACCTCCCACAGCCCCTACCCCCGGCCAGCCCGGCCAGCCTGGCCCAATTGGCCCCGATCAGGGCAGGCTGGCTGGACCCCACCTGTGCACGAATTCGTGAACTGGGCTTCTAGTTCAATATATAAAAGGGTAATATGCTAAGTGTCCCTCCTACCATCTGACCGGTTGCTATGATGTGCACTGACCACCAGGGGGCAGATGCTCAACGCTGGAGCTGTCGAGTTGCAGTGACTTGGCAGCAGTAGTTCTTGGGTGACGCACCCCAAAACCAGAGAGGAGGGAGCCCGATTCTTTGTGGGGCCACGTGATTTCACCTTTAGCCATGGGTTATGTTGTTGCTGGGGCACTGTTGGTCCCGAAGCTGGTTTACTGCACACTTGCGTTTGCGTTCCACACCCTGTATAACAGCAAAATTGCAGTGTCCTCTCTCACTCCGGGACCCCTTGGGGGATGTTGGAGAGCCGGTTTCGGCCCGATCCCTGCAGGCCAGGCTGAGGGACCCCACCTGCCGGAGGGACCCCGCTCACTCCGCCGACGCTGGGGAGGGACCATGGGAGGTTGGCTCCAGGGCATGTCCAGCCCGTCTTGCCCAGTCCCACCCTGCTGGCCACCTTCTAATTAATTTCCTTTCATTGTGCACGAATCCATGCACTGGGTCACTAGTAACTTTATAATTATGAAGACTATGTAGTAACATGAAAACAACCTTTTGCTATAATGTTAAGTGAAAAGCACAATGCAGTTGTTCTCACTATAAAGCAGCTGTGTGATCAATTTGTGTGATGACGACTAACACACCCCATATTTGTTCTTCCCTTTTTCCTTTTAGTGATTGAGCCCAAGCCCAGGTTAAGCGGCAGGGACAGCAAGCACGGACCACACTTCCCAGCCTTCCTGAATCCAGGTATTGTCACGTGACCAGGTTCATATATCTTAAATTTAAGTGAAAGATATATGAACAGCTAACACTTGTTGAGCACTTAGTATGTCCACACACTATTCTAAGTGTATTTACATGTATTACCTGTGTTCACTCATTTACTCCTCTCAAGTCCTGTTAGCTACACTGCCTTAATCATGAATCATCAAATCTAACAAAACATATAATCAAGACTTCAAATAATGAATTTGCTCATTGGTCTTCCTTAATGCTTACGTCAGCCTCTTTAGCCGTGTAGATAGAATAATTAGTTGACAGATTGATTTTGTTTGAAATGAATTACATGGCAGTTACTAAAACAGATTGTAAAGACTGCTGTTCACAGAGCAATTGTTCATTCTTCTCTCAATCAGTGCAACTCCCATCCTAAGCTGGACATACTGCCACCTAGCCACAGACCACAGCACGAACCACGTATGCAGCTACGTGGGCTGTGACAAAGTTCCTCACAGTGAGACCTAAATGGGAATAGGATGGTGACTCCTGGGCCGTCTCCCTAGAGAAGAAGGGCTCACCCTTCTCCTGCTCCTCCATCCTGCTCTCTGGGGAGTGGGTGTGCTGGCTGGCGTTCCCTGAGCTGAGACTCACGCCTTAGCAGTGTAAGAGCAGCAGCTGAAAGCTGTGGCATCGTCCGTGAGAAGCCACTGCTAGCCTCGGGCTGGCTCTCTCCAGACTTCTTTTCACAGGAAAGAGTAATGACCTGTTTAAACTACTATCTTGGGGTCTCTGTTAAGTTACTAGTAGCTGAATTTAATCCAAACTCATATGTAAATAAATCTAAGCTCACGTACTTCCCATTCAGATGTGTGGGACATCAAAATGTCACTTAAAGGCTTTAATTTAACTACTTCTCTTGTAAATGTCATAAGGAAGTAACTGAAGAAGACTTTACTTCAATGGCTATCGATTCTTATAATGGGTTTGTATGGCATCCGTTTAAGGCAGTGTTTCCCAGCCTTTCTTATGACGGAGCACAAGAAAAACAATCGTTGTACAGTACCCTGCCAACTGTGGCCCTTGGCCAGAGGCTGCGGATCCGGGCTGTTGGCCTGTTCCAAGAAATGGGGGGCTCAATGCCTCAGTCCCCCACCCCTAACCTGTTCACCGTAGCCCAGCTCTAAGGGCATTCCACAACTGGTGGACTGCTTCCGGTTACTGGCAGGTAAAATTCGAATCCGGAACCCATTCAATAATCATTACAGCTTGAGAAAAGCCAAGTGAGCAAACTGTGCCTTGTACTTCATTGTTGAAAAAATGCACTCATTGAATGGTTAGTCAGATTACACATTTCTTATTTCGCATAGAGTATTTTTTAGAGGACTTCATTATTCACACGTACACCGAGTATGCTTTTCGTACCCAAGGTGTAAGGAAAGGGTCTTGTGAATCAGGGGCAGAGAGGGTTTCAAACAATGAGATGATACCACTGAAAACGAGTGCCTGGCTTTATCTGTAAGAGGGAAAAGGGAACTTTTATTGATCATTTTCAATCTACCAGAAGCTTCCAAAATGTGTTTTTTCATGACCTCTTTTATTTTAAAGATTAGGGACCTACAAGCAGCAGGACTAACATTCAAAGGCCTTCCTACGTGTCTACATGCCTGGATTTATTCTTTCAAATTCATCTACAAAACCCAGTGGTTTCATAGTGCGTGTGCCATCCACTCCACTCCTGCTCCCACAGAGGCAACCACTGTCGAGCTTTACCCTTTAGCTTCCGGGTGGCTCCCCCATGTCTCAGAAATAACATGCCTATGTTGGCATTTTCCTTTCTAGAGTTGTTCGCATTTCATTTAAGTTTAGAGGTCAAAATATATCTCTTCAAAGCCAGAAAGAGAAAGAGCAGCCCCGTTCCCTGCACAGCCTAGGAGCGGGAGCTCCTTGCCATTCCCCAGAGCAACATGCTCGACGAGGCCGGCTATGCCTTCTGGTCTTTATCGCCACACTTCTACCTGCTATGTCGTGCTTTTTCAAGGTTCTACATTTCATCTATGGAAGAAAGATACGGATTTAGTCTCTCATATGCTCCTCTTATTCTCCCAATATAGTTCTATCACGTTTTTCTCTGATCACTATTCAGTGTTTGCATAATTAAGTAAATATCATTTAAGGCTGAGGCTTGTAATGTACTGTGATTACATTGAGTTTCTTGGTACATAATTGCTTTCCCTGGCATTGATAATTTTCTTATTTTATTTGTATGCTCACTTTGCTATTGACCTGTCAAAAATCAATTACCCATTCTTTTCCAGAAATGTAAATCTCTCAGTACACCCTGCCATGCCCAAGGTCACACAGCCAGGGACGGCCACAGCCAGGGAGAGGGGATGTATTAGTCTGCTAAGGCTGCCATAGCAAAATACCCCGACTGGGCGACTTAAACAACAGACACTTATTCTCACAATTCTGTGTGCTGGACGTCCAGGACCAGGCTGCCAGCCGTTTGTTTTCTAGTGGGGCCTCTCTCCTCGGCTCGCAGATGGCCACCTTCTGGCTGTGACCTCACGTGGCCTTTTCTCTGTGGACGCACGCCGCTGGTGTTTCTTCCTTTTCTTATCAGGACACCCATCCCAGCGGATCACTGCTCTACCCTGCGGGCCTCATGTTAACTTCGTCACCTCTTTAAAGGCCTCAGTCCCAAACCAAGGCTAACGGGGATGAAAGCCTGGCCGTCTTGGCCTGACGTGGGACAATTCTGAAGAGCCATCCAGCTCCAGTGTTCCCTGTGGACTTGGCCGAAAAGGTCCCCGGGTCTGGAATCACAGTCCCACTTCTTCCTTCTACGGGTGCTGGTCCCAAGGGCATGCCCCGTAAACATTCTGAGCTCAACTCTGTCTCAGAGTCTGCTTCCTGGGGAACCCAGCCCGTGACAGTGTTGGTTCTAACTCATTAAACTGATTCCACAGCTCCCTAATCATAACTGATTTCATGACCCACAGTTTGAAAGACACGGGCCTCGAGGTCAGTTGGCTGGTTAACTAACAGTGCTTTGGTTGTGTGGCAGGGGAGAGAGCACAGTATCCAACCATTACCTTGTAGACTCCCAACTCATCGAGCTGTTCACACCCCCAGGCCTAGTCCATGGCTTCTATGAGGCCCGGTTTCTCTGATGCTCCGGCCTTTCCCACTGAGTGTCTCCAAGAAATCGTCTTCCCACCGCCCGTCCTCCTGGGGCAGGAGGCGTAGCCGGGCTGCTGACTTTCTGTGCCTGGGGGCACAAGACCAGCTGGCTATCCCGTCTATAAGCTTTCAATTTATCTCATGCTTTGCAGCCCACCCCCTCACCCTGCAGTCCCTTCCAAATCTGGTGGCTCCAAGTCCTGAGCCTTTGTCTTATTTCCAGTACCCCCCATTGTTCTATTCTTTTTCCATCAAATATTTGTTGCTACCTCTCAGCCATCATAACCCCTGTCTTGGCCTCTCCTGAGAGGAGCTATATACCTATGTTCATTCCACCATCTTTAGCTAGAGGCCAGCAACTAGAAATGTCATGGCCATCCTGTCACCCCTGTCATTGCGGAATGGGCAGGAAGTGCTCTAAGATGAAATGTGATCGACGAGAGAAAGTGACAAAGGCATAGGCGAGCAGAGCCAGCATGGTGGAAATTTGACGAAAAGAGTAGTTCTCTTCACAATAAAGAGTAAGATGCCGGTGGATAAAAAACAGAATACAATGGGCCCTCGGTTCAGTACTGACGACATAAATGACCCGGGATAGGAAGCAGTTTTCCAGTCGTGGACTCAGCGCCCTCCACGGGAGGCCTGGTGCTCCTCCTCCGAGAGATGAACAAGGAGGAGAGGAGGTCCCCACCTCCCTGAGGCGCTCACCTCGGTTATAAAACCGAGGAAGCCACAGGAACACACACACATACACACACAGCCGTGCGTTCCTGACAGCCCGCCGCTCTGCTCTTGTTTCCTCTGGAAGCGCGGATTCACATGCTGAGCAGCCTCTGCTCCCATGATGTGGCACATACTCTGAGCTCCTTGACAAGGTCAAAGCAGTTGCCACGAATGGGAAGGAACCCCAGGGATATCTTTCGAATGCTTCACACTTGAAGTGTTGAGAAGGTTCCGGAATTGCTCTCTAGTGTTGCAATGTTGACATGGCAGCATCAAGGTGAGGGTGCTGGGGGAAGAAGACCTTTCTGGTGGCCTTAAAGCACACACACCAGCAGCAGAGGCTGGCCTCCCCACCTCGCCCAGGCCTTCCCACAGCGGGGAGCCTGGCAGGGCGTTGCTGAGCTGCCCTTACCCCTGAGTGGGCTCTGGAGTTGCTCCCTCGTAATTCATAGCCAGTGGCTCTCAGCAGGCAGCCTGCTGGTTCCAGACGCTGTCACTCACATCACCGACCCAGTGAGCCATGGTCTCGGTGCCCACAGTCACGCCGACATGTGAGTAAAACATTTCCATTTGGACAAAAGAGAAGGGCATCTGTTTTCCCTGAAAAAAGTTACAACACTCAGAAAAGTGCACACACACGTTGGTACAGTTTTCGAAAATAGAAAATCCACTTACTGTGTATGGGGGAGTTTTGAAAACATAATCTAATAATAAAAGATCTGCTTATCAGTTGCTCATTTGTGGCTAGAGCTTGTTAATGAAACACACACACACCACAATGGCCACTGGAACAATGGTTTCTTCCCTCCCTGAGCCACTATGGTTCTTCGGCTGCGAAGCAGTGGGAGTGTGAACCTGTCTGTCTGTGTGAAGGAGGGCGATGAGTGAGTGGGTTTGTGGGAGGACAAAGCGGAGAGTGGAGAGTGGGCGCCGGGTCACGGAGTGTGCGCGTGGGAGGAGGCTGGGCCGTGAGTCAGCCGGAGTGGGAGGCAGGTACGTGTGGGTGACGAGTGGGCCGGAGGAGAAAACAGTACAGAGCCATTTTGCAAATGTGAAGGTTTTAAGAAGATATCCATAGAACCATACAAAAGAGCATCAGAAAATAATGCATTAGCGACTCTAATTTTAAAAAGCAAAGGTTTCCGATAATGCCATCTTACAGAGAGCTGTTTTGAACTTTTAAAACTATGCTTTTTAAGAATTACTTTTCAATAATAATAATAAAAAAAAAAGAATGACTTTTGTGTCATGGAGGCTGGTAATTGGTGGTGACCCTGCCACTGTCGCTGATGAAGACAGTGTGTGTGTAGTTTGAAGGATGGTCTCTGAGTCGCCTCCATGAACAAGATTGGCCACGGCCGGCAGGGAGCTGAGCTGAGGACTCCTGGCTGCGGCGCGTTAACGTCCCAGGGAGAACGGGGCCCTCTCCTTTCCCTGCCGCCAAAGGCACTCATGTTCTTCCTTTTGTAACTATAAGTGCGATTTTAAAAAACTGAACCTGACGCAGAGACTCACTTAACATCAGGGTAAAATGGGGCCCCAGATCATCTTGATGAACCACCACGGGCACCGACGGACCAACTGCGACGCAGAAGCAAGGAGGGAGGAGCCCACGGGTGGATGGATGAGTGAACCCGCCATCGGCGCCAGGGACCTCCCTGCGCTCAGTGGTTCTCCCCGCTGACCCTCCAGGTGTGTGTGGGAGGTGCAACCACGGTGACACAATCCTGCCAGCTCAGCGTC